TCAAGTTGCGCCAAGGGAGGTTCAGATTGAACATTAGGAAAAATTTCTTTCCAGGAACAGGCTGCCCAGGGAAGTGGTGGAGTTACCATCCCTGGAAGTATTTAAAAGACATGTAGATGAGGCGCTTAGGGACATGGTTTAGTGGGCATGGTGGTGTTGGGTTGACAGTTGGACTCGGTGATCTTAGAGGTCTTTTCCAACCTTAATGATTCTATGATTCTATGATTCTATGAAAAAGAGCCTTTCACTTCTATACGTGTAGTCTGGCCTACTCCAGCAGCCAACAAAAAGAGCTGCTGTGGAATTTTTTTTTTTCTTCCTGGTCTGAATGAACTGCACAAGGGCCATGTTCTGTCATCACAAAAGACTGCCAGTCTTAGCTTAGAAATAAGGCACTGAAGAGGCCTGAAGAGAAGTGAATGTCTTACCTTTGGAAAAATGCAAGGCGCTGGTGTGGGCGCTGGGAAGATGCTTGCGCTGGTTCTGTCTCTACTGCCTCGGTTCCCTGTGCACACTTGTTTCATAAACAGCTGCGATGACACTCCTGTGGTCTGAAACTGCCTGCGGGCTGTAGGATGCTGCCCCTGCAGCAGAATAAGTGAAACGAAGCACGTGAAGACTCCTCAAAAACTTCAGAGTAAAGTTTGGTCACTGTTAGATCTCTGATGGAAGATGGACTTCGCACAGAAATGGCTGAGGGGTGCTTATATCTTGCGATGCTGTCAAATCATGAGGGCAACCGAAGGGAAAAGAATTCAGAAAATAGGTAACAAAGAACAATAGACAATAATAACATCTTCAGTCTCTGCAGCGGTGAGTGGGTAATGTAGCTAAGTGCTTAAAAAAGGTCGTCTTTTTCATTAAAGCCCCCTAAATTTCAGTGTATTCTAAATCATAACTATTTTAACTGGAATTTTGTGGGCAGCTTCATCCTGCGGTAACACTGTTCATGACTACTTACAGATTTGCCAGTGAGACCTTGGCATTTAGGAGATCTCCCTACTATCTCGCTGCTTTCTGGAAAACTTTTAGCTGGTTCTTATGGTTGGAAACTGGTACTTTCCCGACTTCTGTGCTCTTGTAGCCTTTGTGGAGGGGGAGTCTTGAGAGCTGCATCTGGGTTCTAAGCACCCCAGGAGTCATTCAGGGTTGTCTTTTAAAAAGATTGCCACAAATACAGAAATAGAATAATATGGTGTTTGCCAGTTAACCTGGGAGCACCCTGACCGTGAACCTAGGATAAGATAAAGTACAGGAAACTTTGTGCAATTCAAACAGTCTGCTCAGTTACAATGGTTTTAATGATAAATAAAAGGAAATGACCATGCTAATGTCTTGCCCTGTATTTATGATTCAGTCCAAGAGGTTTGTTTCTTTCTGTATATCTCAGCTGTCAAGATGTTTGTCTACGTAGTTGTGAATTCCAATCTTAGCACACTCCCTGTAGCCCTAGATTTGTCCTTGGAGAAGAGGACTTTGTGCCTTCTTCTAAGCTTCCATTTGGATTCAGTATGTTCATCCTTCTTCCCTGCCTATCCTGACTGTCGTCCAGATAACCCACTCAGGCAAAGCTAATGTAGTATTTCCTCTTGAACTTTTACACATACTAAAGCAGTCTTGAGCATTTATATATCTTTATCTGTATCTATCTTTATATGGTATTTTAATTTTTTTTTGTATATATAAAAAAATTGTGTGTACATGTCCCTTCAGCCCCCGTACAGTAGAATTTTTCACATCTATGATCAGCGTAACTAATGAAAGAATAATATGTGATGATGTTAAGTATTGTAATTAATGATTATTCAGTCACAAGAGTACACATCAGCAGGGTATTGTGTAAACAATGTTTTTTATAGTAAAATTTTGTCATAAATTTTATTATAAGCTTATGTGCTTATAGCTTGCAGTAAAAGGTCCAATGTGATATTCCTATAACCTCTAATAACCATTTGAACTTGTAACAAGCAAATGTAAATGTTCTTTTAGTGTAAAATGCAATCAGATATTAACAAATACTTAGTGTCAATTACAGAAATTAATGTGAAATAACAGTAGCCTCACTCAAGGTTTTCTTGACCTCATTGAAAAATGTAAGTGCTCTTTAAAATAAGATGTTTGCACTAATGTGGCATTTTCTTTTTTAACTACAGTTAGAACTAACTTTCAGCTACTTGGAAATCCAAGGAGTAACTTCCAGTAAACCCGGTCAGGTGAGTGTATTCTAGATAAAAGATACTTGTTTACTCATTGCTAAATCTGTTCCAGTCAAGGAGGTAATGCTCTAACATGCAGGCGTCCCCATCCGGGGAGCACACTGTATGTTTGCATTCTTACATTCATGATGCTTTAAAGTCTTAACAATAATGTTAAGAATTTAGAGAGTCAATTTTAGGAATATGTTGTGCAGGTGGGATGACAATAAGAAATAAATTTTTTTCCTAGTTCAATATGGTACAAGTTTTCATTTGTATCGTTAAGTGAATATTTTTCTCAAGGATGATAAAACAGTGGCAGCTGGTATATAATCATCACCATGCAAGCTTGAGTGGCTTCTGTGGTGTATACCTTTATGGTGAAGCCAAAAACTACTGCTTACATTGCAGGCAGAAATTATTTGCTTCCAACTATTCTTGGTGCCATAACTGAATACAACACAAAATATATTTGACAGCAAGTTGTGTGCCCAAAAAAGTGAATGTCAAAGAGGAGATGCTGAAAAGAAGAATGCCTTTAATACTTTTTTCATTCATAAGATGAACGTCTTGACAAGATTTGACAGTTCAATTATATCAGAGTCTTCATGTGCTTCATGTGTGTTTGGCTTTTAAAGAGCTTTTTAAAAATAGGTGCATCTGACACTTTATTTGAACTCTGAAAAGCTCTCGTTGTGTTTAACATGTCATCTTTTTAACCTGGCTTTTGAAGCTTTCCTTAAAGGAGGGAAAAAAGGTCCAGATGTTTACTATTTTAATGGGGAGACATTTAGTAAATTCTGTGTATGTTTTTGTGGCTTTATTTATTTAAGGTACTAAAATGCCATGGTAGCTAATGTTAATTATTCCTGGAGGCATAGACAATCACTGTTGCAGCCAGGTTTACAAGGGATTTTCAGCAGCGTCACTTAGCATACTATTTTCCTAAAGTATATTTTAAGGTTTTGCATATTTACATTCATTTGTGTTTTAAATGTGTAAGGCTTATAGCTGAAGGCAGGCAGCAATCCTAGATTATTGCTTGCGGGGCAAATGGTATTGTTGCAGTATTCCTGCAAACAGCATGTTACATCCGTGATACCTGAAGGATGTGGTCTTGTGCTAGGCATCTCGCAGAAAGCTATTAAGAGCTTCCCACTGTAAAATAAGTGAACAAATGGACAGAGTAATATAGGGAAATGTTGTGTTAATATTGGTGACAATGAAAAACCGTAGTCACTTGCCCACTCACTCACTCATCTTCAGGGAGTGACAGCAACAGGTTCAGAAAGGAGTTGAATTGGTGGGAAGAGGTGTGAAGATTCTCGATGTGCTTTTGGGATAAATACAGCCTCTTCAGGGGTTATCCTGGTGATGACCCTTGACGTGAACTGGGAAACAAAAGAGCCCTGGGAACCACTTTCAATAAAAAACAATCTTATGTAGCATACCACGCAGTGTCCTCTCTCATACTGTCTATCTACAATTCTTATTTATTCCTAACGTTAGCTTCTTACTGTGCATGCACAGTTCCTCATCTAAAAGTTTATGACTTGGGCTGTGCTAAATATTCACACTGGAGAAGACAGAAACATTACATTGCTTCCTGTGTTGCAGCTGAAAGCAGCTGCAGACCTGATGTGTCAGTTTTACAGTAATCTGATTTGATTCTGAACACTCAATATATAACAGAGATAGGCTGCAAAAGACTTTAATTTTTTCCCCTCGCTGAAGCACGTATCCCCGAGATGACAGGACCGTTATGTTAGCTGAGTTACTGCTTCATCTCAACCGGGACAATATATTACCGTATTACATTTTCTTAAACGGCATAGGTCAAAGCATTAGAGCTTTTCCAGAGGATCACAGCCATTAAAGACTTTTACTTTTTGCTGGAGGAAGCAGGCCCTGCTTGTTCAATAGTTTCCTCTCAGGCTGTGCTTGCTTCTCCTGGTGTTCTGGGTCGTGTTTCAAAAGAGGACAATGCTGTGAAAAGATCTTGGTTTTCAGAGTGTCAGCTGAGGTCAAGATCCTTTGAAACTTTTATTCCCATGGGAAACAGAGCACTGTTAGGAGAAGCAAAGTTTGAGTACGGGGGTCTTGTACATTCAAGAAACTTCTTGTACTTTAAGAAACTTTACGTAGAGCATTGTTGTGTTATGTCTTAAAGAATAACAGATTCCTACCGGCTTGCAAAGCATTCAGCTGGCATTCAAAATGCTCTCCTTTTTAAATGGACATGAATTATATGATACCCGGTTCCTGCCCTCATGCTCTCTTATTTACAGTTGATTATGGAAACTGAGAAATGCAGCATCTCCATGAAGATGGCATCCTCGGAGGATGTGAACGAGGTGCTGGCGCACATTGGGACCTGCCTCAGGAAGATATTCCCTGGACTCTCGCCAGTGTAAGTGTCTTTTAGGGCACCTCTAGCGGCAACAGATTGTATGGAAAGGGTGACAAGCCACCACTTTTTGTCCACGGGTCTCCCCGCTCTGACCTCAGAAATGCACTGAGGGTATGAGAAACACCTTGAGGCAAGCACTAAGCTTTTATGCAGGTATGTGACAGAATCAGGAGGCAGTGCAGAGCATAGTAGGATATGCATGCTCTGTAGGGTCAAAAGAGTCTTTGTTTTGAAGGAGCGATGCAGGTATTTGGAGTCTTAAGTTTTCATTTTACCTTATCGCCTCTCCAACCTCAGGTATAGCTTAGGTTCTGGCTTTTTGTTGTAATTTACTCCTTTCCCCATAAACAGTTGTGATATTCAGTGGGGTGTTTTGTTTTGTTTTGTTTTTTTCCCTAGAAGTAAAATCTGAGTTGGGAGAGGAGGGAAAAGTTCTGTTTTCTTTCAGTGTTTGTGAAATGATGCACATAATTGGGAGCCTTGTTCTTCAAAACTGAGCCCTGGGCAGTCTTGTCATATACTTTCCATGGTGTAACTGGCTCCTTGGATCATACATCTCCTGCTCTAGCTTTTTTGCTCTGCTTCTTTATGCATTGTTCTTGCCTTTGTTTTTTTTTTTTTTTTTCTTGTATCTGTGCCTCTGAATTTTATCATCTTGCAGCAATTCTCAGTAGTTTTTCTTCATTTTATTTTATTTCTTCTCTCTGTACTTGCCCCATCTTCATCACTCCCTACCAGATCATGCAGCTCTACTATTACTCTCTTCAGCTCCTGGTTTTCAGCAATATTAGAGAAAGTGGACTGTGTGAAAGAATTTTCCAGGGCACATTGATCTTTTGAAGTGAGCTTTTGTAACAGACATTAGATGTGAACGGTCAGGCTAAATTTACATGTTTTATTTTGGGTGCATGTCTTTATTATTCACCTTTCCTGTAGGTGGGATAGGAAATCAAGTTCATAAACTCCGACTGACAGTTTCTTTTTTTTACTTCCAGTTTATCTCTGTGGCAGTATTATTAACTGCCTTAATGGAGATCAAGCTCTTCCTTCAAAAAGCACACATACAAGTGAATATTTGTGAGCAGGTTTGCCATAAAACCTCGGTAACGATGTGAGAAATGTAGGCAAAAAGGGTAGAGTGAAGAGGGCTGCAAGGCTGTGGGTGTTTGTCTGGGTCTTTGTCTGTGAAGCCTTGAGACCTATACATGTTTTCTCTGGGCTTTCTTGAGAACATTGCTGGAGCATTTGGTGTAGCTGTATGGAGAGCTTGGTTCCCGGAAAAGAAATCAAACTTCTTGCTCTCCTCTCAGATGGCATTACTTTCCAAGATGAAGGCATTGGAGTTATGCAGATCACATAAGGCCAGAACAAGCAAAAAGGGGGAAAGAGGCTTCTCCCATTAATATCTTTTATTAATTCTTTCCTTCTTTCTTTATGGAATTCTGCAATTTATGAGGCAGTGCTGTCATTCAGAAAAACAAAGAGTTTCATTTTTTAAAAGGTAGGAAGGGATCATGTTTTTGTTTAGGGGAGGAAGAAGACTAACAAATTACAAAGATTGGAGCTGGGTTTCTAGAGTGCGGCCTAGAGGTCACATGTAGCTACTCAGCATGCTCTGTGGCTCTTTGCACCACAGTGTTTTTACTGCATAAAAGCACTGTATAAACAGCAGCGGTTTCAGGGTAACCAGTAATACCATGTCTCTCCCCTATTTTGGGCATCCTTGTGTTAATCGAGGGCCACAAGTCTGCTTAGCTTGAGTGATCCTGTCACAGAAAAGGGCTCAGTTGCTCCAGTGGTCACTGGGTTAATCATTAGAAAGAAAGAAGAGACAAATAAATGTTACTCCTGCTGGGCGGCATCACAATGTGTGTGACTTTTAGGCAGAGAAGTGAGTTGTATTAAAGATGGTAATTCTTCCTATACACTCATTTAAAATTGTACTTGAAATAAAGAAGATTTATTAATTCAAAAATACTTTCAAAGTCATGAATGATTTTTTTTTTTCCCCCTCTTTTGTATCTAGGAGGATTCTGAAAAAAGTAACTATGGAGCCTTCAGAAAGACTGACTAATCTCCAGGCCTTGTGGGACAGTCAGACAGTGGCAGAACTTGGACCTTGTGGTGAGAATGAATTTAAAGGTTCAAATATAAAAAGGCTAGAATTGCAATGTCAGGAAGTTTAATTCTATTTCTGGCAGAAGCTTGTAAAGATGTAATTAGTTTTAAGGTGTAATTAGTATGGAGCAGGCTTCTGATTGGTAGGTGAAGGCACTATTTTAAGCTTTCTTGCAACCTGCCGGGCAAAGATAGGATAGTCTCAGTTTCTTTCAGCAGCACAATGGACAGCCTTCTGAGAGAAAAAGAGAGTGAGTTTTGAAAGAGTGGATCTTTAAGTATAAGTATTAAAGTATCCTTTTAAATGTTTGTTTGTTTGCTTCTTTTACTATTATGTTAAATACTCTCTTGTGTTGTTCTTAGGAGGCTTTTCGCAAATGTATGCCTGTGTTTGTGATTGGCTTGGATTTCCGTATAGAGAAGAAGTACAGTGGGTGAGTACATGTCTTGTTCTGGAGCTCTTTTCAGCTAACTGTACAAATGATGAAACAGCATGTAAATCATAGTACTTGGAAAAAAACAACAGTTCTGTAAAGATGTATTTGGTTATGTATTTTTAACAGGATGTCGATACGATTTATCTGACACAAGATACCAGAGAGTTGAATTTGCAAGACTTCAGCCACCTTGACCACAGGTAAACAATATGCAGTAATGATGCTAATATTTTGCAAACTTTCCTTGTTCCCCCTCGCAATAGGGTTCGCCTACCCTTGCTAAAGTGGGATGGTCCCATACCTGTTACTTGAATGTGTAGACCTCTGAAATGACCATCTGTAGCATTTTTAGTTTTCAGTACAAAGCTGCTGTTTTTGCACGAAAGCCCCATGGAGAGCACATTTCATTGAAGAGCCTAAGAAGATAAATATATTTTGCTATTGGAAGCACTCCAAAAAGTTAGCAGATAGATACTTTTCCTGTGATGGCGCATATAAGAGCTCAAATTCAGCAGAGAAAACATGCAACTACATCTGGTGGGCAAAGCAAAAAAGGGAATTATGCAGTCTTTACTTATGCAAAATCTTTTTCTCATGGTGTACACAGTAAAGGAAATTATTTTTCTCAGCAAGTCAGTAGAAGGTTTAAGTTGTTCAACTGAATCCCAGCCAGTAGTTTCTCCACTTACAATAGACACCATCAAAAATATGTACTTCCAGAAAGGAACTAACTGAGGGTAATTTTACTATGAGGTGCTGAAACTTAGCTAAGTGTTGTATTTGGTTTACTGAATTTAGCTGGCTGAGAAAATTGGATTCTGAGAAAGTTGAATCTGAAGATATTTAAATAGGAGGAAATGGGAGGAAGTCTTAACTAAAATCCATCATTATACAAGGAAAATGACAAATTTAAGAAACTGTAAATAAGATAGAGAAAGCATTTGTTTCTTTGGGAAAGCCCAGTGGAAGAATTAAGAATCTGTCAGAAGTACAATGTTAAAATATTATAACAGGAAGGCTGAACTTGGAGGTAGGTAAATAAGAGTATTTTGCCACAGCATTCTTTGCAGCTTTAAGCTATCTAGTATGTAAACTCACAAAAAATCCCACTAAAATATTTACTCAGCTTCTGTGATGGGTTTTCACAGTCTGCACTGAATTCCCGTGGCAAAGTTACTAAGCTGTACCTGTGTTGGCTAATTCAGAATGTAACTCGAACAAGACTACAGGGCTGCAACTAGTGTGTGACTGATGTAGCCAAAGACTGTTTGGTTAAGCCTTGCTGAGGGAAGATAAGGAAGGGAATACTCTTCAGCACAAGCAAACGTAGGACAAGAACATAAGAATGCTTTAAACATATTGCAAGGTGGAAGTACTGAGAAGACTATGGGGCATTCTTGAGAAAATGACTTACAGATACCAGCTTCAATAGAAATTAAATGTTTGAACAATTTATTGGGAGTGAAAAATATTACTTATTAGGAAAGAGTAGATAGAAGAAGTGTTTTAAGTATTTAGAATATCTCAGCTGGTTCAAATGAGTTGGCTTTCGGAAAACAGAATAATGGGTTTGTTGCTTCACAGAAGCTTTTCATTGAAGTATACCTTACGAAATTGACATCACTGAGGAAATATATTTGTGTTGTTAATAAAAGTCTTTATTAAATGTCTCATAATTGTGTAAGTCCAAAGATTCAAAACAAATTTGGAGCCATTCAAATGCTGTGGAATCCATCTTGTGATGAGAGTTTCTACGTGTTGAGGACTGAACTGAGAAAAAGGTTTTGGACTGAAATTTCAAGAAAACTAAATTTTGTAGGAAGCCGAAACCTTATGTTATTCATTAAAAATACAAATTAGGATCTGAGATCCCAGTCAATTCAAGAATGTATGCGAGTGTTTTGTGATATATTTGGCACAGTGAGAATGCTATAAATTAATAATATGCCATCATGCTTTGGATTTTGAGAGACTGTTGTATATCTTGTCCACCTAATTTTTGGGATTGCTGAAACTTTATACTTCATGTTGTGGAGTAGCTCTGAAGAGAGGTAGGATGGGTACACTGGTCTCTAGATACAGGGGCTATGCATTGCAAAAGTAAACAATTTGTGTTTTTCCTGGTAAAGCATGTCTGTTAGAGGTCAACATAAGATGGCATGAATTATAGATGAATGTAGGTTCCCAGAGTGCCTGACACTTAGAGTGCATTGCGTGGCTTGCCACATGGGAACATGACTTCTGAGGTTTCATCTGAAGTTATGTTGTGCTGCGAACCATATAATTGTTTTAACAACAACAACAACAAAAAAAAGACTCAAAGTGAACAGGGCTTATTTAACTCAGTAGCGTAATTTTCATCTGTGTAGCATATGTTTTAGCATATTTGGACATTCAGAAAATTGTCGGAAAAGCATGATTGGGTAGATTTTTTTCTTTGCACTGTTTAGATTTCTTGCCGTCTTAAATACGCTGGGGGACAGAGATGTTGAAAAAACATGAAGGCATTAGTGAAGCTTGAATGTTATTGAAGCTTGGAGAGATTTTCTGCATTCCAGAAGAACAGAATCTGTTTTCATTTTAAGATGGCACAGATTTGTTTTGTAAATCTTAACTTTATTCTGGATGGTAATTTAGTAAACAAATAAATATAAGCAACTCAATATAACTCAGTGAGGGAAAGTTATGAGAAGGCCCTGCTTTTGGAAATGGTCATTAGCGTTCTTTCATAGTGTATTGCAAAAGAATTCAGATCATTGTTAGTACCACATCTAGAATTTAATAGAATAAAGTGAATAAAGCAGTATATAATTTTGAAAAGGAAAACTCAGTAAGAAGTGCAGTGAGGTTAGGCAAGCTCAAAGCAAGAGGAGGAGTAGAAGTAAATTCCTAAAGGACCCTCATTGGTCAGAAGCACCTTCAAAAATTTCAACAAAATGAAAAAAAGATTAAACTATATAGTTTCTCCTTAAAATCACATGGTAGAATCTGATAAAGCGAAGTTTCTAGACAGTAAGGCTACTGCAGAACGGGCAGAGGTTCCACTATCTTCAGGCACGTGGGGAGGAAGGGGGGTTGGGGCGGGGTGGGGGTTTAGCAGTTGGTGTTACTGAAGTGTGCCAGTATCTGTGCTCGTCTAGGGTTTGAACAAACAGGCCTTGAATACTGCAGAACACTAAACTATTTAAAGATGAGAATTTGCAAATCAACTGGGTCGATTTGTTTTAAAATATTCCTGTCCTGCTGCAGCAATGTTTCTTTAACTTCTTGAAAGTGTGATGGTTTTCCCACTAACTCTGAGCACCCCTGTCCTTCAGCCGTTTCCCTCCGAGGCCTGGGGAGGAGAGGGGAGAAAAGGATGGCCTCAGGCAAGTTCTGCCTGCAGCCACTCTCCTGCCCAGAAGGTACTGAGCTCTTGCCAGCCCTCCAAGCTGGCTTACCAGCTCCCTGGTAGTGTAAACGCTTGCAGCCAGTGATCCCCGATCGTTGTCCCTCTGTTTCTTTGGAGGAACTGGTGCTGCTGCACACGGCTGAAATACATTTGCTGGTGGTGCCTTCTGCCTCTTTTGGGGGTGGTGGCCCACAGCGTGAACAGCTCTGCTCCACCAGTGTGATGGTGGTACCGTCAGCCTGTCCAGCGTTTGCCCTGCAGCATTCGCCACCAGCTGTGGCTGGCTGGTTACCACTGGGTGGATAAACCAAAATTACACCTGAAAAATGACTCTTATGTTCATTCCACTTCCAAGGCAAAGGCAGTGGCAAAAGGGACATCAAAGCTGCTAATTCATTACCACCTTACTGATCGCTCCAGGGAAAGGCAAAGGAGGAACAAACCTCTATGTGGACATTCCTTACTCCACAGCAAGGTTCCTGCCTGCCCAGCCTAAGGGGGAAAATACCTCTGGGTTGGTTTTCACCCCACAACATTTCACGAGTCGTTGCTGCTTTACATGGAGATAAAGTGTGTGTGTGTGTGTAGGAACAAAAACAATGTGGTGGACGGAAATAAATCTATACAATTCATGAAGCTGATAAGGCTCTACTGTGCCAGTGGAAATGAATTCACCACGAGACTTCATGTGTGCTGTGAACAAGGTGGAAAACAGGCTTAATCCTTGAAGGGCACCACACACTACTAGTTCCTCTGCAGGAGTGTGAAAATGGTCTATTTGCATGAGCTTCACAGTTGGTGGGCTGCGGTCTTTTGCTTCAAAATGCCGCACCTTCTTGCTGTTACCTTAGTGATGGGCTTGTACTTCCAAATCTAGAAACTGCAGTTCCCAATATAGCCTGCTGAAGGCTTGTCCATATGATGTTGTCTTGTCTCCTGGCTTTCCTACGTGTTTAACAACCACCCTAAAGTGTTTAAATGTTCGTGGAGGAAAAGGGAAGGAGAGGAAGAAGGAAGATGTGAGAAGGGTGCTGCTTGTTTAGTGCAGATCTGTCGTGCATACCTGCATATGTCCTGAATGAAAAGCTGGGGGCGGGATGGGACTAGCTTATAAAAACCAATACTTATAAATTTCTTCCTGCAAAAACTGAGTCTCAGATGGCACTGTTTCGCTGGTCGGATACGTTCATGTATGTTACAGCTCCTGTAACATACATGTTTTCTTAGAAACAGAGGTTTCTAAGAGAAGTCCAAGTGTAGGTGTATATATGTATTATATATGTTGTGTCAAAATGATCCAAGTGCTGTGCCGCTGTGCTGCTGGTACTTGATGGATGATTCTGCTGGGTGGTAGCATACCGACATGACATTTATCAACGTCTGTTATTGGAGCAACTTAACAGAGGGAGAGCAGATCACATTGAGAGGCTTGGAATGAAGAAGACAGGAATAATTTAGAATTTAATTTGTGAAATCCCTTTTACAATTAAGGAGGCGTTGTGCTGAAAGTCGCATTATCCTTTTGCAGGTCTCCTGCTTCCTGCGGGAATTTAACTATAGATATGAGACAAGGAGGTGTTCTCTAGAAGCATTCAGTCATGGAATTATATTAAATCATCAGACTGCCAAAAAGCTTTTTAGTGTCATGCTCAATTATAATTAGAGGTGATTAAGAAGCTTAAATATGTCACAGGCTGAAGAAAAAATAATGCTAAAAGTAGGAATGGCAGCCCAGACAAATTCCTAGTTTAAAAATCCATGCTAGAATGGATGTCAGTTGGCCAGTCAAAAATTTGTGTTAAAATACAAGACAGAGACACAGCTACTGGTGGTGCTCGTTTTTTTAGAATACAGAGCTTTCTGTAATGGGAATGGTAGGCAATTAGCATTGCAAAAGCATGGGGAATTAGGTATGGAAGAACACTTAAGAGATTGTTTCAAATAACGAAAGCCGACAGTTATATGAAATGTGTGTAAAAGCGTTTTTCTTTTTCTAGAGACTTAATACCTATAGTTGCTGCTCTGGAGTATAATCAGTGGTTTACAAAGCTGTCGTCCAAGGATCTGAAATTAGTAAGTAATAAATTGAAAATGTATACCTGCTCCTACCAGGCTGTGCTGTGTTTCAGAGGATGCTATTACATTTTTCAAGGTGGACTTTTTTAGGCAAGTACAACTGGGCAATCTGTTGAAATTTTTTTTTTCTCTTATCATATCAGGAAAATATAAACTGTTGGATAGTTAATTCATGCCATAGAAACACTGCTGGGAGTCAGGTCTTGTCAAAATTTCAAGTGAATAAAGTTTGAAAACTTTGTTGGGCAGTAACAGTAGCCCATGAAACTACTTTGTTAGGCGTTGCTAGCTCCCTCAAACAATATTGGGTGACTAAATAGGAAACTAACTCTAAAGCAGCCAGAAATCTCAGTTGCTTTTTGGAGGTGGAAAAAAAATATCAGGATTCTGTTTTTTTCTCACATAAGAAATAGGGTTTTCCTCTTAATTTTCATTGCAACTTGATGAATTTTTCTCCCAGTTGTCTGAAGCTAACCCTGCATAGTAATGAGTACGTAGTGATGTGTGACATTGATACTCTTTCACATCAGTTTTCTTTCTGAAAAGCAAAAAGGGGGCAAGTCTAAACAAATTGGACTACTGAAGAAAAGGCCAAGAAAATCAATAATTAGGTGACTTTTTAAATATATCAAAATATACTGTTTCTTCTAAACTTGAAAGTTTATAGTCACAGGTGGAGTTAGTGGTTTGAGAAATTGCTTTCACGCATCCAGAAGCTTTCGTCCTCAAAAATGAAGGTTGCTTCTCGTCTTGTTTAAATTGATACAATTTTATTGATCTGAAAATGCTCTTATTGCATTCCTAAACTATCATTTTCCATGAAAATTCAATAGAAACTAGCTTATGTGATTCTTGGCAGAAGAGTAGGCAAAAAACTTTTCTTTTTTGCTGGGACATCTTACTCGAAATTATGCAGAGAATGAAACTGGGGGTATTTTTAATCCTGTTGTAGTTCACTGTTAAAATCACCATTGTTAAAAGGTACAATGCAATTAATCAGTTTCTGCTTCAATGAAATGAGATAGTTTGCTTAGTTGGAAGACTGGCCAGCGTAGTTTGCTTAGAACAAGAACTGGCCGTATTATCTGTCTGAGAGATTTTTACGTGAAAGTTTTTTGGAATTCTTAGCAACTTTTCTGTGGAAAACAAATAAACTTTGTCAACCTTGAAAATGCACCAATTCCTTAAAAAAAACCCAAACAAACCCCACCACCAAACAAACCAAAAAACTTTATCTTCCACACATTCCATTTTCAGTCAAAAACACCAGGAAAACATAAATTGTTGGACAGTAAATCTGTGCCATAGGAGCACTGCTGAGGGTCAGTATGAGGTCAGACATACCCGGAGGCCATTGAATGCTTTATGCTTCATGAGTCCCACTCTGACATTGTGTTTGATAGATGGTATCCATAGTGTTTTTATAGTACATGCATGAAACTTTCCACTTGCAATCATGCTGCTGTAGAAGCATTGTGGTAATATTCTGAATTACTGAAATCGGAGGGCAAAGATAAAATGGGGAAGATGGCTGAGTTGACAGTCTTTAGAAAAAATTGTCACCTTTACTGTGTAAAGGATTAATAAGATTTTATGTGTGTGGTAGATTAGTTCTTTTTCTTTTTAGGAGATTCAATTCGTTAAAAACTTAAAAAATCCTAGAAAGTATCAGACTGTCATTAGAGACTCAGACGTCCCAGGTATAAGTGTCACCTTTTTTTAAAGGTGGATGACAGAATAGTTTCAGTACTTCATGATCATAACTGAAATTCAGCTTTGGACTTCACATGAATGTTGGTTAGTGCATGCTGTGAAGAAAAAAAAAAAGCAAATCCAGAAGCAAAATAAAAGATTATAATAAAAGATTATGAGGTACAGAGTTCACTGTACGGCTTTTGAATCACTGAGGTTTTATATCTCTATTTAAATAAGCACAGCAAACAAACTCTTTTGTAATCATGTTTTGTTCATGGTACTTGCAAATGTCTGTGCAAATTCTAGAATCCAACAACAGTGAGATCATCAGATGGGATTTACTTTTATGTAGGTTGGGAGAATTCATACTGAAATACATTGACGCTTAAGCACTAGTCCTTAGCAGTCCTTTGGAGGACCTGTAGCTAGAGTGCTTTTGCTCTTGAGTTTTTTGGGATTTTTTTTTTTTTTGTCTGCCTTATAACATCTTTCTCTGTGTTTAGTTGTCATTCCTGGTCAGGCTTTATTCTCCTTTGCACTAGTTGCCACTTTCTTCTGAAGGATTAGCATGCATATGAACGAGATTTCCTTAAAAATTAAGTGAGCATTTTTTCTGAATCACAGGGTTTGGGTTTTTTACTATCATTATAAAAATTCTGCCGCCTATGATTAGATTGATTAAATGACTCGCTTTTAGTCTGCCTCTCGCTTCCCTGAGTCTTCTCCAGAAGTCCTCTGTTGCCATCGTGACTCTCTCTCTGGGATGTTCCTGGTATTCTTACTTACTATTTATGTATGACAAAAAGCTGATCACAACCTGGATCCCATTACGATGTACGGCTTATAACTCAATAACACATATTTGCGTTCTTTAATGCTGTTCTGTCTTTTCTGTTGCAGTCCACTGATGTCTGTGAGCAGATACTGCGAGTGGTGAGTAGGTCCAATCGATTGGAAGAACTGGTATTAGAGAATGCCGGGCTTAGAACGTAAGTAATTCCTTTGAAATGTTGCATTAGTTACTGCTTACTCCCAGCAAAAAGGATGTGTGATGTGTGTTAGCCAGCATAAACATTAAAAAAACCTCATGCTTGACGTTTACCTTGTTCTGAGGAGCCTGTAGTCACGAGCTTGTCATCAGGTTTTTTGAAGGTTCCTTATGTCCAAGAAATCCCTTTAAACTGATGTGTTTTAAGATTCTGCCTGGAGAGTTGGATTAAGTGGAGCAAAATGGATCGGATAAGGGCTGTCGTGATTTAACCTGGCAGGCAGCCAAACCCCATGCAGCGGCTCGCTCACTCCCCCTCCGTCCCCAGTGGGATGGGGAGAGAATCGCAAGGGTAAGAGTGAGAAAACTCATGGGTTGAGATAAAAACAGTTTAATAGAAGAGGGAAATTAATAATAATAATAATAATAACGATAATGATAGAATATACAAAATGAGTGATGCACAATGCACTTGCTCACCACCCGTGCTGACCGATAACCAAGTAGCGATCGCTACTTCCTGGAACACACCTAACCATTCATATACTGAGCATGCCATCACATGGCATGGAATACCCTGTTGGCCAGCTGGGCCAGCTGTCCTGGCTATGCTCCCTCCCAGCCTCTGCTTGGTAGAGCATGGAAGCTGTCCTTGACTAGCAGGGTACTTAGCAGCAACTGAAAACATCAGTGTGTTATCAACATTCTTCTCATACTAAATCCAAAACACAGCACTAGGAAGAAATTTAACTCTATCCCAGCTGAAACCAGGACAGGGCATAAGCCCTAAATCAACTCATGCTGTTCGTCTCCAAATACGGTTGCCAATAGAAGTATGAACACCTTTTTGTCATTTAAAAAACAGTGTTTGCGGTTTTGTTAAAAAAAGCATATTATTCCATCTCGCGTAACAAATTATAGTTTCGTTCCCAAGAGAGCTGGTTTTATCTTACTGTGGATTGCAATTAGCAACTTTTTTTAAAGCAAGAAGGTAGATAATTAAGTTTAATGCCTTGCTGTAGCCTTGAAAGAAAGGTACATACAGGTAAGCCATACAACTTAATCCTTGCACATGTTTTAAATACAGTAAGTTGTAGTTACCAGATACTTGCTTTTTTCCCCTTTCCAAGGAAATAGAAGCAAAGTTCAAGGTACAAACTAGCCCAGCTGGAAGTATTTGTAGCTAGTTCTAGTGTTAGAGTAGCATCCAAGACCATGTAGATGAGATAAAGTGTAGTGCTAAAGAATTTTTATGTTAATTAAAAAAGCAGTTGAAAGTTGGGAGAAGCAGAACATTATACTAAATTAAAAATAAAGAAGGGAAACAAGCACAGGGAAAATATTTAGTGTGCTTTACGTTGTCTCCTTTTCCATTGTTTGGGTCATTTTCCCCTTTTTAAAATGCGTTTTGCATTGAAATACCTTTAAAAGAAAACTGCCTAAATGACACAGGAAGCTTGAGGTGGAGTTTGGAATTACACCCAAACTTTCTGATCATTAGTGCATTGCCGTTAATACCTGTCATTTCAAGCATAAGCACCTGAGTTTAATCTCGTTTTTCTTGCGGTATGTGCCATGAAATCCAGTGATAATAATGAATGTTAAAAGATATATTGACTACCTTTGCACATTGCCTACCTTAACTTACCGCAGTTGGATTAACTGGTTTCGGTTTTAACAGGACTTGACAGATAATCAACCTGTGACTTTGGTTTTCATGTCTCCATCTGTATGCCTTGGTGTGTATCTGCTCCAGTCAGCATTGTCTGTCTGTTTTTGTCAAGGACGCATTTATCGGTTTTGCCAGTTATCATATCTGCTTGCTAGGAGGAAATCCTCTTTTTACTGGGTATCTTCACTTCACATAACTTATAGACCAGTCATTTTTAATTAGCTGTGACAGACTGCCAGAGCAGGGTTAAGAAAGAGCTACCAAGAGCAGTGTTTTGAGAAATAACCTGAGCAGCTGCAAGAGCATATTTCCTCCTGCAGCAGAGTCAGTTTAAGGCGATTCCATTCTTTTCTACCTCCAGCCACTCATTTCTGTGATTTAGTTTGGGACATGGCCCCATAAACACTTGTCATTCTCCCATTCTGATGAGACAGCAAACTGTTGTGCAGGAGTAGTTGTAAGGACCCAGGACTAGGGAAATGTGGACTTGCTGTTGGAGAAAACAGGTTGTCAGATGGAACTCCCTGTCTGATGAGATTTGTGCCAGTTTAGATGCTCTTTAAAATTTTATCCCCATTGCCATTTCTTTAACAGACATAAAGGGTACAGTCTAGGTTATTTTGGATGGCTTTAATGCATAAAGCAAACAGTAGTGTTTTGGTAACTGTTAGGATGCTAACTAAGGTAGGTGATATCCAGATTTCAGGGAAAAGAGAATAGTTCAAGACGATCTGAACAAATGAGCTTGAAAAGAGAGTTACCTCCCTGAGGTGTTTTAGAGGAATGGGGCAATATATAATAACCAGAATATTCATTTCCATGAAACTGCAAGACGGATTCTTCAGTCTGCAAAGGCCTATTTGCAGGAGCTGGTGAAAATGATCTGTTTGTTGCGCTTACATGCTCTCTGAAAGCTGGCAGGCAGAATTTCTCTACTGCCTTCCACACCGTCCTCTGCAGCCCTGATCCAAAGGGAATGGCCAGCCATAACAGCAGGAACAACAGAGGTGCCTGCTGCTGGTACCCGAAGGGCCTTTGCCAGTGACGTTGCATCTCATCTTCCCTTGCTGGATGGGCTCTGAATGTCCTTAGACGTAACCGTGTTAGTTCCTCCCACACATGTCCTCTTTCTTCTGTTATAGGGATGTTGTCTAGACAGATCTTGAGAAATTGTTTTAATTGTCTGAGATTTCCAGATCTGTGGTATTCTCACCCTTGGTGAAATATCCTTACTCTGCCCTAGATGTAGTTAAATTGAGTCTTTTTTGGGTCTTACCTCCAAGCCTGAATGTCCTCGGTTCAGGCAGGCATGGCTGTGCAATGCATACAGAGTGAGTTTGATGCTTTATAGAAAGTGTCAGGTTTACATTGCATGCTGTGTGTCTGAAGTATGCAGCCAAAAAAAGCAGTAAATTTTAGGACTTAAAACAAAGAGTGGACAACGAGAGCAAGGGATGTTGCCCCATGAGCAGAGCCCAGGTGCCTCCATTTATGGTAGAGGCTGCGCAAGGAGTGCGGCAGTTGTATTAGTTTTTTCCAAAATGAGCTGTGGAGTCCCATGCGCTCTACATAAGTAATCCAGTGCTTTCTGGTGGCAGTCGATGTACTGTGCCTCTGCTAAGTAGTTCACACACACCCCAAGTGTATCCAAAAGGTTCTGGTAGTCCTACCTATATTGGTGGCAAAAGCTGGAGCAGAGTTTGTAAACAAGCCTGGAAATGTAGGCTGAACACTGTAATGACAAGAATCTGTTAGGGATAAAGGAAGAGGAGGAAACACCCCATGAAGAAAGTTTTTTTTGTTTTTTTTTTAACTCAAAACCTCATTTTTCTTGGCTGGACACAAGGAGCTTGATTCAATTGCCTAAGCACAGGCATCTAGTACCATTTGAAATGCTGGAGGGTATCCACACAGTGTTGGCAAATGTAACCGAGGAACTACAGGAGATATGTAGTCTTCTGCAGCAACAGCTGGTAGCAAAACAGGATACCCTGAGGCCTGTCAGGTGGCACAGATTCAAGCCCAGAATTTCTTTTTTTTGAGTGTTTGTATTCACATGCTGCTTGTATCTTGGGAAGAGAATACACTTTTCCTGAAGGCAGCACATCATCGTGCATTTGTAGCACTGGAACCTGGTCTGCCTCCAGGGGTCCATCTGAAGACATGGGGTTTCAAAGGGAGACTAAACTTCCATGGAATGTCTGTGCTCAAGTAGACCTTCCAACAACAGATAACCAAAAGGTATTGAAACTACTGCTGTCCAGTCTCCACTCTTTTCCAGAGACTGGAAGAGGATGCTACCCCCACTGCTATTCTCAGCACACAGGCTGATCACTTCCTCAGGATCTGTCCTGAGGAAAACGGGCAGTGTTAATTAGCACTATTCTAGCAATGTAACTGGTAGTTCTCCACCACTGGCCTAGAGGAGGTAAGATACTGTACTTCAAGGGAGAGAAAAAAGCTCTGTGAAGGAAGCTCAAGGGATATTTTTGATTTCTACCTCAGTATCTAACTTAGGTGAAGTAAGAACATTGAAATGACAGTCTCAGTTTAAAAAAAGCACACAGTAGGGCTAGTCCCTTAATGCATGAAAGCTTCCCAGTATGTACAAGGACAGAGGATTTGTCGTAGAGCTGGTAGCAGCCAACAGCCTTGTGACTTAATGCAAGGAGCATGTCTCCACCTGAGTCTGACAGTGTGGTCATGTAGGAAAACCCGAGCCAGCTTTGAACTTAGTGCTGTGGGTGGTGGCAGTCCAGCTGCAGCAAAATGCTCTGAGATGGGGCAGTGTTCCCTTGCCTCTCAAGTGGATTTGAAACAGAGGTAGGTCATGCTACTACAGCTACCTACCATACTTGGTTAAAGTTAGTTCAAAGCTATCTGTGCTACCTGGCCTGGCTGTTGTGAGCATTATAGAACTGATATATCACTGTCTCGCTTGGGACACATTGCTAGGACTGTGGTCAGCCAGTTATGTACTTTGATGCTTCTCACTGTAAAAAGAGGCAAGCAAAGACCAGTTCATTAGTGTGCTGCAGTTCTTTAAGAGTGTTATTGCTGCTGTTTTACAAGGTCAGAAATACTCCTAGTTTGTTGACCTTCTGGATATGCTGCAAAGCCCATCTGTTTGAGTGACTGTTGGTAGAGAGCTTCTGCAAGTGAGGGGGTTGGCTTGCAAGTGAAGGGTGGTAGTGGTATGCAAGTTGATGTATATATCCTACCCATGCGTGGCATGGAGGAGAAGGAAGATGTGGTCAAGTTTTAAGTTATTCTGTGTAACTCCTTTATATCTTCAGATCTTTATCAAAAGCAGTTTGAGCTTTGATTGAGTTCCCTTCAGTCTCTTAGGCCACAGAATAAATAAATAATAAAATAACCTGCTTTGAAAGATAGCAAATTAGCCAGATAAGCATTGTTTAAAGCTGAAAAATCCATTACTGCTCTGCAGTAGGATAGGCTGCTTCTGTCTAGTAATCCCTCGAAATTTTTAAACCTCTGAATGTGCTGTTGATACAGGAGATAACAGGAGTGTTTCTTCCACTCTCTTCTTTTCTTGCAGAGATTTTGCACAGAAACTAGCCAGTGCCCTAGCCCATAATCCCAACTCAGGACTCCATACGATCAACCTTGCTAGCAATCCACTTGAAGATAGAGGTACTGTAACATTTATATTTTTCTCTTCCTACAAATGTAATAGGAGGATTACTGCTGCTCCGTTCAGCTTTGCCTGAATAATAGATTATTGTTCTATGTGTAATGCTATTGTAAATACCTGTTGTTCACAAATGACTGAGAATCACTATTCTTTTTTGATTTATATGTATCCATTAGCTTGTTAAGAGATATTTAAATGTCTTAAACCAACCATGGATTTAATTAGATTTCATTACATTTTCATAGAGGTTTCTTTTAAAGGAAGATAGAACACAGTGACTGTTTAGGACTAGAGAGTAAATAAAGTGGCGTGCATTTTTAAAGGCAATGTAATCAGTTGAAAGATGAAGCATGAGGCAACTTTGTTGCTTGGATTATATTTTCCTGATGGTTTTGTGGTTTTATTTAGCCATAATTCCATACTTATTTTCAGTATTGAAACTATTCCTTTTCTCAGCTTTGTGCTAGTCCGTCGTGTTGCCAGTACTTGGCGATGTTCAGTAATACTGGCATAACTGGCATCCTTATGGAGCAAAGTGCTGTTGACTCCACAAGATGGAAAATCAAGCTGAACAACTCAGCTTTTCTCAGACTAGGCACCGCTAGGCATGATTTCAGTACATATCAAGTCAAGTCATTCCCCTCCTTTGTCTACTCTCTTTTTACCCGAGAGGCATTTATTTTTAAAATAAGGTTACATTCTTTCAGTCTGGAGTTGACCCTTCAGCGCTGCCCATGTGAGATTTCCATTTGCTTCGCTTAATGCATTCCAGGCACACAGTGTTCTGAGATCAGACTATCTGGTGCTCCTGTTGGGCCAGAAGAAAAATAAGAATTTTTTACAGTGAACCTTTTCTTGTTTTATTTGGTTTGTTTTGGGGAAACTTTCCAGTTTCTTTGCTGTCATGATTCAAAATGTAAAATCATTTTGGTTACAACCTGACTGACTCAGAATGTTGTTAACACAACATTCTGTTCTGTAGGTGTCTCTCCTTTCCCGCTGTTTCAGTGAGGAGAAAAAGATGGGAAGGTTTTTTTCCCCCTTCCTCTTTTGTATCTCTCTTCCTTTTGACTAGAAGCAAGTATGAAAATATTTTTGTTTTTAACTTATTCAGAGTAGGCTTTTATTTAAAATTGTTCACATGAATTGCTTTAGCTCTTCTGATTACCTCTTGCCTGCTGATTACCGCTTGGCCTCCTTAAGAATCCATATCACGTGAAAGCCAATGTTTTGCTGAAGAACATTATTATTACAGTGTGCCATAGGCCTAACTGCATTGTACAAAAATTTCTGTTGTAAGTTCAAAAAAAGGCTGTCACATTGTTGGTTCTGCTTTTGGAGAACTGTGTTACATGAAAGGTTTTTTTAAAAGGAACTCATTTTTATCTTGAAAACAAAACAAATGACCGCAGCATTTGGTAGATATTCTACAGTGCAGGGGATTTTTTTTTTTTTTTTAATTTGAAAACATATCAGTGTGGGTACTTTCTTTGCAACAAACCTATAGATTCAAACCATTTATCAGTATCCACATACAAGATACAAATGAAATGCAGAAACTACAACTTGGAGAAATTAGTAGGGTTTTGTCATTATCTCAGTCTCTCCTATCACATATGCAATTAAGATTTGACCTTTTCATTAAGAGAATTAGATAAGTTATATGAGTACTTAAAGAAAAATTAACTACAATTGCAATGGGCAAATATTGCAGCTTTTCAGTTTAAGAAAGATTTACTTGTCCTGTGAGCTGATATTCACTCAGTGTAAGGTAGATTTGACTTTATTAAACTGAAGAAGCAGCAAGCATTTCACAAGTAAAAGCTGGCATAATGGAGATTCATGTAAGCTTATGGATTTCGGAAAATATCTCTTGAAAAATCACCTGCAGGAACTGGAAGTTCAACCAGATTACTTTGCAATTATAAGGGAAATAAGAGTGGTGTGAATTATGGGGAAGAACATATCATTGTGCCTTCTTTGAACAAAAAAACACCCTAAGCTACTATATATTATTGAGTACCAATAAGTGAAGATGTTGTATTATTACATTAATTCCAGTAACGTGTGAAGTGTGTTTAGTTTAACTAAGGCATAGGACCTGGCTTCAGTTCAAATACAAAGCAGTGTTTATATGAAGAGATTTACACTGAGACCAGTCTCTTAATTTGTGATAGGTGTCCCTTTATGGTACTGTCAATATTTGTAAGACTGACGCCTGGAAAGTTTATTATCAGTCTTGGCTTTAAAATCTAGCCACGCTAAGGCGATGGGAGTTTTGCTTTTGGCTCTACTAGGATCAGGATTTAATCCCATATTTTGCTAAAAATAATGCAAAACAAACATACTGAAGCTTGGAAATACTCAAATTCAAAACTGTGTGCCTGGATGCAGTTAACTATACTTCTACCAATTAGAGCTCTCATCTCTGTTACGAGCTTAGCGAAAATGGGTGGCTTAAAGAGTGTTCAAGGGCCTGAGTGACCAGAAGCACTTTTTCTTTTCTGCACCTGATTCCCGTATCTTATAACTGTGTGGATCCTTAACACCTGGTGCTGGTAAGATGTTAAAATTGTTCAGCTTGGCTAGAGTAAACATATGTATGTCACATACTAGCAAACTATTTCACATCTGCATATGGGAGAAGGGTATCAGCTTTTTCATTTACTGTGTTTTGAAACAAGTGAAAGGCTTTACCCCCTTTCTCTTTACCCTTCTCTCTCCGAGTGAGTTGCTGTAGTGGGCTATATTTCACACCTCAGGTTAAGCCTGGAGTTTCTGTGTTGATTTATTCCTCTAATAAATATTTCATGGATTGGTTCCATTGTTATTTAGGATGTGCCCTCTTAATCAAATTTCAATCTTTTGCTTAAATGGAGGGATTAAATTTATGGAGTGTGGAACTTGGATACACTGAGAAAGGGCTTTAATGAAAAGTGCTTTTTGGTTTTTTTTTTTACTTCTGTTGGATTTGTGCTGAGATAGTCCAGTCTGTGTCAGCATCTTAATAGGTTTTTACTGTTCGGGATCGCAAGTGGTTGTAGCATTTCCAAGCCTGTGTCCTGGCTGGTAACCTGCAGGCTACTGTAAGGGAATTAAGTGGCCATTACGACTTGGTGGAGGTTTCAAACTCTTAGGATTTACCTCAGAAAAAGAGGTCAGTGTTAGCTAATGTGGGTGTCTCTCTTGCTTTGACAGCCCTTCCTTTTAAAAGAAAATAAAAAGTTTGAAGTTTCATGTGAAGTACCATTGTTGAGTTTTACTTTCTGTTTCTTTTTTTTATGGGTTTGTATTTTTTTTTTTTGCTGAACCATAAAGCTTCCAGGTTTCCCAAGTGCTGACTGTTTGACATGTGTAATATCTTCCCTTTGACTCCTTCTCAAAAGTATGTGTGCATTATATAGTTTTTAAACTACTTAAGTTGGCTCACTGATCATTAACAGCAAAGTTCGCTATCTGTTCAGTGGTTAGCAAAGAAGGGATCTTGACTACATCAGTCATTTCAAAGACTTATGGTCATAAAAAGACAGGGTCATTTTGGGCCCACCCCCACAGTGAGTGCAGTTCTTCCTCTAGCTCCACCAGTGCAGTTTGCCGCTGGTGTGATTGTTGGGAAAACCTACGATCACACAGTTAACCTGAAAACGTCCATTTTCTCTTTGCTCCTCCAACAGGTGTGTCGTCTTTGAGCATCCAGTTCGCCAAACTTCCAAAGGGACTGAAACATTTAAATTTATCTAAAACCTCCTTGTCACCTAAAGGTATGTTTTATAAGTATGCCTCTTTTTCTGTTCTAAAAGTTTCAGGCTTCCATCCTAATAATACCTTTTGTTACCAGATTATAAAGTAATTAATTCTGTAAATTATTTACGTGTGTATTCTCAACAGCACAGCTGCTTTTTTGCAGTCCTGAGTTGCTGAACCATGGGCTGGGTTCTGTGTCCCCTTCAGCGCTTTGAAAAACTCGCTTACTCGCTTCTGTAAGCTTTGGGCTTGAACCTGTATTGTAAAGAAAGATTGAATTTAGAATTGGCATAAATGATACATTTCATATATGCTTCAAAAAGATGTCTGAAGCAAAAATGTGTAAGCACGCAATTATTTTATGAAACCAAGTCTTGTGACAATGGATGTTAAGTGGTTTGCTCTGAGTAAAGACTTTTTTGCTTTATAATTTACAAATTTCCAATTTGATATTGTAATTGAAATGTATGTATATTTTAAAAGCAATAACAGTACTGAAACACAAGTCAGAAGCTTTCAGGGGTTTTTGCATTGCTGTTTTACAAATAATAGAGGCATTGACCTCTTAAACTGCGCAAACTCAGGGTGTCCTGTATAGAATATGAGTGTTAAAAACAGAAAAAATACACTGACATTATTGCAACTTTTTCACAGATGTTGATGACCTGGAAAAGATGAGTGCGTTATGGTCTATAAAGGACATTAGTTGATAAGAGATAGGAGCCGTGCTCTTTTATCCTTTTAATTATTGCTCTGTGAAGTGCAGATTCTGTGTTCTCCTAAGCTTTAAGGGTTGACCTGGGGGAATATGGGTGGGGAGAAGGTTTTTTGAGTGTTCTGTAGCTCTTGTTATGCTCAAGTAAATAGTAAACCCTGAACTGAATTTATTCAATCATGATTTTCATTAAAAAGACTTTATTAAACTCTGGGGTTGTTTTTTTCCACTGCTAACTCTGTTTTTGGTGACAAGCAATTGATTAAGAATCTTGACTAACCTTATGTGTACTCTTGAGATTAGATGTTCATGAATTTGACAGAAATTCATGCAGTTCTGGTATGTCCATTCATCCTGTGCTTTTCTGCATGTGATCGCAAGGATTTCAGCAAGTGCTTGTTTCTGTGGGGAAAGTCTAAAGGAGACGTTGGATTCAGTAGACTCCAAGGTGCATGGATTGTTTTTCAAGCCTTTCTTCTTTTAATTTTTTTTATTTTGAGCCTCTCAGTTTCAGAAATTCTGCATAATCCCTCACTGATTTTGACCTTATTTAAAAAGCACTTTCTATTCCAGATAAGTTTCTAAGGTTGAGAAGTGAAGTTCAGGTGGTAACTTCCAGCTGATCTTTGTTCAAATATTGTATCTCAAAGTTCTTGAGAGCTATTAACACTCTGAGCCTCCTGAGAGTGGTAAAAGAGCATGAAAGATTGTCTGCAAATGAAAGTGAGATTACTGTTAGAGTATAGCATGAGGAAGGTGAAGTTCAAACAAAAATTTATTGATTTGAAGATTCTGGTTAAATGGAAAATTCTAGTGCACTCATTCAAAGATAAGGCTTGCTTTTCTGAGCCCAAGCCAAAGGCTAATTAAAAAATCCCTCATTCACATTGTTTGCTTTCAGTGATGTGGCTGATTTTGAGCAGTTGGCCCTTTTTAAACACGAAACAAGCAGCAATGTTACAGATTGTTTGATAGGTCGTCTTCTCCCCCAGATTCAGACACTACTCCTGAATTCCCAGAATTGGTTCTTGATAGCATATGCTGAATTGTTGACAGTATATTGCATGCAGTTCTACTTCTTCTTGTTGCTTATAAATGTTGTTGAGAAGACTCACTAAAGTGAATCCAGAACTATAAGCTCTAGTGGTTAAATAGAGCTTTTGGGTCTTTCGAAGTTTCAAAAAGTATTTGTTTGCAGTTTACCTTTATAGATAGGGTATGGATTCAACAATGCAATGTTAAGATAAAAGAAAAATACCGAATGGAAAAGTTTTGAGACTTGGCAGAGATGTCACTGTGCTTTGATTCTTTTCAGTATCAAAAGCCTCCTGAAACAAGACCCGTACTACTAACATGGGAGACTTTCTTGATATTTGGAAGCTTGGAAAACCAAAGCACAGAAACAGGGTATTTTGGTCTCCAGTGGCTTGCTAGCTGCTTCCTCCACATCCTCACTGATAAATCCATTTCATAATAGTTTTTAATTGAAGAATGGACATGTTCCATCCATTGAATGCCAGTCCATTTTCACTGACCAGCAGCTTTGAGAAATTGCCCAAAATTGTGTAGTAGATCAAAACACATGCCTACTTTATAGCTTTGGCCAGGCACTTACAAAACACATGCATGTAAGAAATACATGCATGTATTTCTTGAAAGACGGCAATAGCCATCTACAACAAATTAAAAACTTGGTAATAAACTACAGAACCCTCAGATGAAAGTTAGATTTGCTGGAAGTAGCTACATCCTAATTTGTATTTGGAAAAGCTGAAGAATTTTAGAGGAAGAAAGCTCTGACTGGTTTGTTCCCAATGTGAGCTTTTTAATTTTAATGTGAAAAGTATGTATTTGTTCTAATCAAGAATTTAGAGTCTTTATGCATCTCTTCATATTTTAATTAACTAACCATTTTTCTGAAATTACAGGCAAATACATAGTTGAAATATTTTAAGTTTCTAGGTCTCATCAGTTGCTTTTGAAGTTCTGGAAATTATAATTGTTAATGTACTTGGTCTTCCACAGATACTTTCATCTACTTCCACATACACTTTTTATCTAAATATTATTGCTTGCAAGAAGACACTGACTTAACATTATGGAGTAAACTCTGTTTTAAAAATCTGTTTTAAAATGGGATTGCACTGTTAAAGCCTTTGCAGACTTTGCAAAAAGACTTCTTCCCTGGATCCAAGACCCATGGATCTGTGGCTCCATCAGGACAGCTAATGGAGTGTGGTCCAAACTGGGCATGCTGTGGCAGGGAAGAGTCTATCTGCCTTGTGCCCTATCTTCCTGCTGCAGTACAGTGGTGGTAACAGGAGGTCATTAAACATTTATGTATGTCTGTGTTCACTGAAATTGTGCACTTGCAGGGTCTGGGCTAGTTTTGTCTATAGTTGGCTGAGTTGAGTACTAATGTTTTGGTTTTTTTTTTGGCAGGGGTGAATAGCCTTTCCCAGTCACTGAGTGCCAACTCGCTGATCGCGAACACGCTTGTCTATCTTGACCTCTCAGGGAACGCGCTCCGCGGTGATGATCTCTCAGTAAGCACTTTCCTCTCATTTGTGAATTAATGGATGTTTTTAATTTATTGTTAAGAGAAGGGTAAAGCCGTTTTGTTTGGATCCTTTTTTGCCTTTTTTTCAGTACAGTTCTAGTAGGGGTAGAAAATAACATTCTGATCTCTACTCTTCATTATGGAGTCAGAGAATTGAATTGCCCCACATGACTAAACAAACACACATAATTTTAGTTCATGCTTTCAGTGATAAATGAGAAAACTGTAAATGCACCACTTGTTTCAGTGGACTTACCATGCTCCCTGAGTTCTGTTTGAAAGTGACCAAAACATACTTAAAAAAACTCATCTTCTTTTTAGTGATAACTGTGTTACAAATTTTTCATTGGAAGGTTGGAAACAATTGATTTCTTTTGACTTGGAAAGACTTAATTAATTTCTGGTTTTCAATATTTTTGTTTGTATAAATAAATCTGTGCATCTCCTTGACACATGCTGTTGAAGCTCATGATTCGTTGAAGAATATAATTATTTTTGAAGTTCCTTTGTTCAGTTTATCAGTTGCCATACAGGTGCAGCTCTATTTTCTCCATAACAAAATCCACTTAGTTCTCAATTTGTATGTATTCACTCTTTGACTGTTACATCTGTATTTTTCTCTCACATCAAAACTTGTGTGCATGTAAGTGTCAGATTTTGAATTCTTCAAGTACTGAGCATCTAAAATATGCAACACTAGAGTCGCCCAATCTTACCATTTAAAGTGCAGTCAGACATGACTGCTACTTTTTCACAAATCTTACTGGTTTCAGATTCATCAGCACATTCGAAGAACCAGTCTTTTCAGATGTAAGAGGTGAAAGTTTCAGTAGGACAAGAGGATTTAAAAGGTAGCAGACAAATAGTTAAATGTAAATAAAGACACACAGTGAATTGCTTTTAAAGAGAGAATAGCATAGCAAATAATGTAAAAACAAAAAGTAAAATATAACGTACAACTTTGATAGGCAATGCTTAAATCTGATGTCTACCTACAATATTTTAAGGGACATAAATACAAAAAGTGGCGCTTTTCTTAGCCTGTCAGAGAGAGAGAGATGGTTCAAAGAAAAAGATTATTAATACTGAGATCTCTTAATCTGTGAAACAGTTTTCCAATAAGAGTAAGGAAATCCTGTTGTTTAGCATTTAAAATAAACCCCAGCAAAGCACAGGGTTTTTAAAGCAGGGACCTTTCTTGCACTGTAGGTATAGGGCCTAAAAGACCTAATTTTTAGAAAAATTAATCTATTTTAGAAATGTTCAACATGCTCTGTTTGGCTACATTTCATGTGGAGTTGAGCGTTCCACATTTCTGTGAATTAGGTCATACTTTTATCTTTCTGTGTTGCTCTCTGAGACTAAAGAAAGCCCAAAATAAAACAGCGTATAGTAAGAAGTTTTACAGGTGCTAACATTTGCATGACATATCATATGCATTACTGAAGCCATCAATATTAAAATCTTGTTACCTGTTCTGTATTACCCCTTAAACCTTTAATGCACTGCTGATATTAAGAAGTGACCACGAGCTTCAGACGCAAATTAGTTGCTTCCCTTATGCTTAAAGGGGCTGGCTTAAACTTACAAACCAATTAGCCTTTCTGAAATGTAACAGCAACCTGAGTGACATTCCAAGGTATTTCTAACTAAATTAATTATCATTTGCTGTGAAAGTGAATTGCAGAGAGTCAGGTTTGGTAGATGTAGTCTGAGTGCTGTTTTTTCCCCTGTTGTTTTAAAAAAGTATAGCTTTCAAAAGTAAAACAGGTTGTATTGATTAGGTGAAAAGAAGTTTCAGATACAGCTCTTGTAGTGCAACTTTATAATAAAAGCCTAAAATGTAATGAGAAGTAGCGATCCAGTAATTGGTGTCATAATATCAAAATTAACATGGATAATTCTTTTTTTTTTTTCTCCATTAATTATAGAGCCTGTACAATTTTTTGGCCCAGCCAAATGCCCTTGTTCATCTGGATTTATCCAACACGGAGTGTGCACTAGATATGGTAAAGATGTTTTTTGTGGAGATTCAAATACCAAGGAAACGTTCTGCACCTTCTATCCCTAGGTATTTTTCTGGGTTAATATACAGTAAAATCAATCTTCTTTGTTTTAAACCAGGTATGTGGAGCCCTCCTTCGTGGATGTCTTCAGCATCTAGCTGTCCTTAGCCTCTCTAGGACTCTTTTTTCTCACAGGTACAGTTTAAAAGTAATTAGTCTCAACTCCTGCAATATTTTGTTTTATAATTTCTTGCTCTCATATTGCACCTTTCTTTTTAAGAAGACATCTCAGACTTTATAAAAGTCTTAGAAGTCTTAATTCTCTTTGAAATAGTTATTATTTATTCCAAGCAAAATATTTTGTTTTCCTTTCTGCTCTTTGCTAGATGGCTGTAAAATAAGCTACCTTGTCTAATACATTTTCTGTGATACTGATACAGCGGAAAATCTATATATATCTTTTGTCTCTAAGAGGCATAACATCAGGCTTTGAAATCTGACTGACTTGACTTGTCTTTAAATTCGGTTTTTAAAGTTTGTATTTTTCATTATTTGATGATGGTTACAAATGCTTTTTTCCTTTTTTGTCCTTTCGTGGGAGGAAATCCTTTTGAAAGTCTTTGAGACTGAACGTTGACTTTGTAGAATACTTGCATTGTAAGAAATATTAACATTAGCTTCCCTTTTCTTCAAATCAGTGTCTTGGGTCAATATCAGAGATGATACCTAATTGGCGGTAAGCTACTCCAGCATTGAGTAATTACTTCTAGTGGTGAAAAGGCAGTTTCAGGGTTTTTGAGATGTCCTGTTTGTATCGTAAGATACAAGTATGTTCATTATTAACCAGACCTAAATGATCATTCTTTGTAGTTTACTAAACAGAAGCTAGATAGTAATGTCTTCTGAGCAGTAGTGTAATGCTGAGGATTGTTTGTTGAATCAACATTTTGATGACATTATATTTCTAAGCTAATTGAGAGCCACTGATTACAGAGCTGCTGAAGGTAGAGCAAATTAAACATGTAAAAGATCATTACAATTCTGACGGCTTGCATTCACTATTTATTGGAATGAGGAGTGTCTAGATGCTACTTCTTAATGAATTTGTTTACTTACAGAAAAGGAAAAGAAGTCCCTCCCTCCTTCAAACAGTTTTTCAGCAGCTCACTTGCTTTGATGCAGATTAATCTTTCGGGAACTAAACTCCCTCCTGAGCCTCTAAAGTAAGATTTCATTTCATTTTCTCCTGTTGCCTAAAACCTAGTTTGCATTGTTATTATGTGAGTGCCTCATATTAAAAATGAAGGGAAAAGGATTTTGCTTTTTTTTTTCCATTGTACATTATTGATATTGCAAGAGTGAGTTTCATAATGATCACACATTCAAGAAATGTTGTTTCCATCTCACAGTTGAGACTATTAATCATATTTTGTTCTGTGGGAATGTCACAGCTGTTTAGCTTCCATCAACATTTTTTGTGATATATTTCTTGCTTTGTGGCTTATGAACAAAACTGTTTGCTTCACAGTAAAATGGGATTATGTACTTGTGTGAGTGCCATTCCTTTGAGGCTGTGGTATTGCAACAGCCATTGTGAAACTGAACCTGTTGTAATGCTTGGGAGGAGAGACCTATTGCACAGAGCTATGCCCTCCTGCTAGGGGGAGAGACGATGGCAGCAACTTATAGGAATGCTAAGTGTAATACATTTCTTCGCTATATGTCATCCATCCTGTGGCTAACAGGTTCTGGTGATGTGAATTGGGCCTTCCATTGCCCACCCAACACTGGAGAGAAACTCCTCTTACAGCCTAATGTAGGCTGAGGGAAATTGTGTAGCACTGTGTCACCTTGCCTGTGACGTGTGCAGTTTTGAACTGTGTTGAACTTTCCAGACATAAAATTTAAAGGTGTGTTTTAAAGTCAAGATAGTTCTAGATAGATAGGTCTAATCTAGATAGGTCATTCTGTGATTCTGGCAGAATCCTTGTGTTTATTGAGCTAAGTTAAAGAAAGGGCTCTTTCCAGAGTGTCAACTTGCTAGCTAATATGCATTAAAATGTACATAACCCTATCTGTAGTAGACGTCCAGACATGTTCACTAACCATTTTGGAGAACACACCTCCAAAATCCTAATCTGGACACAGATATAGATATATATGTGTATGTATGTATACTTGTGTGTTTGGGAGCCTGCTTCCTGAGGGAGAACAGGGAAAGGCAATGGGCAGTAGCTCAGCAAGGGAGTAGCTAATGAACAGGAGTTGATGGCAAAATCAGAGATGTGGGATGTAAAGTGTAGTTAGTGAGTACCAGATGGAAAGCTTTTGATACAAACTGGGGGAAGCTAAGGGAGAGAAAAGTGACAAGTGCCACAGAGGAAAGAGTAGTGTACATCGTTTTGGGATATTTTTTCTTAATGCAATTTGACATTGGAGAGGACAGTACAGTATGATGCTTAAGTAAGATGCACTGGATTGAAATCAATATTCAACTGCAGGAGCCTATCATTTTAGCTCTGACATTTCACTCTGTTCTGTGTGATGCTCTTGGTTGCTGTCTTGCTTGCTTAGACTTTGCTAAGATTGGGAAGGTATGGTACTGATGTGTTTTCAAACAGAAGATGATTATTGAGAAACACATTGGTTGATTCTGATTAATTTAGGGCTATTGATTCTGTGGTGGAGGGCAGCAGGGAGCTATGTTTAATGAAGCAAGAAGAACGGAGGATGTAGGTGACTAATACACAAGACAATTTTATCAGTGCTACAGGAAAAAAAAGAATGTTGTGAGACATTGAATATATCTACACAGATTAAGAAAGGTGAGAAGCCCCAAACACTAAGGTTCATATTTAGCTCTTCTCCTTGGCATGTTGAGTATCTCCTGGGCTGTGAGGAGTTTTGGCAGGTGAGTGCTCTACAGTTGTCTGTGCTCATGGAAGATGTTACTGTATTAATTTATCCCAAATACTTGTGACCCCTTGATCTGCCAGCTGTGCAGCAAACGAGATCTTCCTAGTCCTTTTCAGCCAGATTGATCTCTATTAGCAAAAACCTACTCTGTTGATAATGTTTAAGCTAATCTGGCTCAATTTGACTGAATTGGATTAGAGAGTGTTATTCACGTGACTGATGTTGGTGGAAGTAAAGAGTTAATGACGGATAGCGTAGGATGGGTTGAGAGCAGTAACTCTTTTGCCAGCACAGACAGCTCCAGAAAGGAGCATCTGTCCAAAGTCCAGCTGGACACGTGTGGTCTCAGAGTGTCCATGCCACACTCAGCTGGCTGGCATTTTGGCATCGGCTTCTTTTGTTTTGTTCTGATGGCAGTGTTCACCTCTGCCTAGGAGGTAGGAGTGAGCTCTCAATATTTTTTGGTAGTTTCCTTGATGTACTTTTTCTCTAACCTGAGTTTTTTCTTCAGTTTGAGCTGAGTGTATTTCACAACAGTACAGAGAACTATGATCTGCAGTACACCTTGCTTTCCTCCTCAAACCCTGTATGGCTTGACTAATACACTTGAAAAGAATCACTTGGAAGTTAATCTGGTGTTTAAAAGGACTGAGGATGTGCTATATCCTGGGGCAGCTGCTTAGCCTTTTGGTCTTAACTGTAAGAAATTACAAAACCTGTGCTGAACAATCAAGATCATAGGATTTGTTAAAGACAAGAAGATGGAAGCACCTTTTTTCAGACAGACTTATTTGTCATTGCCAAGATTGCAGTAGCACATGAGGGATGATTTCTAGAAGGAAAAATAACAATGACATAGTGTACAATAATAGCATTTCTCTGGCATCTTTGATCAGTGCATGTCATAAAAGCTTTTGACAACGTGGGCCTTGGAACTGTCCTGTGACAAAGGGGAAGTTCCTGTTTTGTGTCCATGAACCAGAGGTCATACAGTTGGATGTGTGATTCAAGATCAAGCCTGCCTACAGAAAAAAAATAGATAAAATGCAGATACCTGAATCCCAAATTCCCCCGTTTAATTGTTATTTGATTTCTTTCTTATCAACCTCCGATAGATCAACAGTTGTGGTATGTTTAATCACATATGCTAATTCAGTGGGTTTAAAGATATTGGTTAATCAGTGCACTCAGGGAAGGAGGTGAACTTGCTTGTACAGTGATAGACCTGTTAATAAAGTCAAGCCTTTCAGGGAAGAGGTTTGCTAATAAAGCTGTACTGCGAGGATGCCACATAGTGGGTGGAGAAAGGGTGCTTTTAGTTCTTGTACGTAGTTAGTATAGTTAATGTTCCATCACAGCTCACTTTCTTTTTTTTTTTCTTTTTTTTTTGCCTGAGTGAAACAGTTTATACTCTCTTTTCCTTGTTTAAGTGTATGTTGGTGTTTTTGTTCATTTACAGACATTGCCAAAAGTTGTATTTTGATCTGTCAGTGCTATAACAAAACAAGTTTCTGATATGCTTCTCATGCAAATGCTAATTACAAGGCCAATTCTTGCATTCTGCATGTACCACAGTTAACAAGACCTTTCCATGTATTGCCATATGTGTCATTTAAACATAGTGGCTAAGTATAATTATAATATAAAGTCTGCCTTCAGCGCCTTTGAATGCTGGTGATTTTTCATGACAAAGAATTGAGAAATCATGAGATTTTCTTAGGATGAGTTTATAGGAAAGAGGTTAGGAAAAAAAAACAACCCTTTTTTCTTCCTGTGAAGAGACTACATTTGAAGCAGCACCGTGTCTCCTTTTTAATCTGCATTTTTTTATGGTTGCACTGTATTTTTTAGGTTGCCTCAAAATGTTTAGGAAGTTCTTTGCAAAGTTATCATCAGCCAGACTAACTTTGAATAAAAGCATGTTTGGGAAGGAAATATAGACAAGGATTGTCTAAAAATTTGTAAAAACTTTTGCAGAGCTTTCACATTTTTTTCAAAGTCTGCATGTTAATAGCTTAGGAAGTAAATAAGCACAAGATATTTGCCTTTGTTAACAGCAAAGGTCTGATTAACATTTATACTTGCAGGGCAGAAAAACCTTCCCGGGGCGCACACATTTTAAATATGGCTTTTACACACTATTTGAGTAGCAAGTGTATGGGCAAATGGCTCAGCAAAATGGATTGGTTTTTATCTCCGTGCATCAGTAGTGTGGATTCTGTTAGCTTGCTTTTGGCTGAAATTAATTTTGGGGAGGAAGTCCTTCTGTTTCTCTGTTCAATTACTAATTCAAAGCAGTATCTATTCTAAAGATACGAGAAGGTATACACAGATTGTGTTCGCTCCTTCTCTAAGACACATACGGTTGTGCTTTCTGATTTGACAGTATTAATAAAACTGTGATATTAACACTAACTTTTATATGTGGAAACAAACTTCTGCAAGGCTTTAAAGGTGAATTTAAGAAAATCATAATCAGTTGTTGCTACACTACTCTGCCATTCTGCCTAAAGACAAAGGATACCATTGTCTGGGATATCATTTTGAAATCTGTAAATATTTATTGGGTTGCAGAAGTGGAGAATTGTGTGATACTTGAACACAATCCAGCATTTGAGTGTTACAGGCACTGTGCCTGGCTGAAATGGCTGGCTGTACTGCAGCTTGCATATATTAAAAACCCCATTTTTTCCTGAATTTTTGGAAAATCAGAGAGTTAGTACGGTCATACAACACTCCTTTTGTAACCATTTGATGCTCTTTGAAAGCAAATGTTGAAGAAAATTTATCTCTGACGAATGTTATTAAATGTTGATGTAGCATTAGCTTTATGGTTTCTTTATTAGCCTTGCATCCCTGCAGTTTTTGAAGCTGCTGGAGTGTTCTAAGTGTGGCAGGTTTGTGCTGCCATTGTCATTTAAAAAATAACTGCTCAGCTGGTGTGGTTTTGTTTTGAAATGGTTCTTCGCATTATAGGTGTATTAACCTGTGATCGCTTAGACGATGATGATGATGATGTAAAGCTGCCTTTTTTTTTTTTTTTTTTTAATTATTAAAATGATTCTAAAATTGATCTTTTTCAGAGCGCTTTTATTAGGCCTGGCTTGCAATCACAATCTGAAGGAGGTGTCTTTAGATCTCAGTAGCTGTGAGGTAAGGAATATTTATCAGGATGTGTTCAAAAGATGCAATGATATGGAATTAGAGTTCCCATTAAATCCACTGAGCGAGATACTCTTCCTCTGTGGTCAAAAGTTGTGGGAAAGGTTAGAACTTGGAGAAGCAATTATGGTAAAAATCAGCTGTTGAGTGTTACAGCATCATCCTAAATAGTGAGCACGGAGGTTCAAAGCACCTGCAGCACCTGATTGTCAAAACCCTCCTTGCAGTGTAGCTGTTCTAGATACTGAGCCAGTGCACTGGTTGCTGCTTGGCAGCTTCTGCTCTCTGGTGCTGTGATTACACAGGACTCTGCAACAGGGTGGCAGCTTGATTTGCTTTATCTTGTTCCCTCTTGCTTCTCTGTGCTTTGCTGTGCACTTTGTTTCTCAGGATTGTCCATACTCTTGCAGGATGATACCTGCATGGCTACAACTTATGACAAAAGATCAGCCAAGACCCTGGGGAGCCAGTGAGGCAAAGTTACACAGAGAACTGTGTGGGCTTCAGCCAAAACCAACACGAACCAGCTTTGGCTCAGGCCTTCTGTGGCTGAGCGGCCACCCTTTCCTTTTTAAGCTGCAAAGAAAGCCTCTCACTTGTTAGGCATATCTTTCGAAGTCCACCACCGGAGTATTAACTGTTCTGGAAGTGCCTTTCAAATGCAGTGGTTTCCCCTTAAGTAGAAAACATGCAATTTGATGAACATGTTGAGGTACAGTAATCCTTGTCTTAGATTCGTGTCGATTGCTTTTGGAATGTGCACAGATTTACTTAGGAAGAAAAAAACCAAATAATTGTGAATGCATTTCATAGTTTGTTTTGATATTTTATACTTTTTAAAAAATGGTATTACTTTGAAGAGCATTACATGTAAATTCCAAATAGAAAAGCTTTCAAGTCAAGTACACATGCTTCTTTCTTCTGAGTGGAGAGATCAGATGGATGATAATTTTTCTTTCAAAGGGAGGAAGGAAAAGGGAGGAGTAATTAAAGTAACAAAAATGAAGTCCTCTAATCATAACCTTAAAAGAATAAATCAATAAAACACAAACATAAGTAATGAGAGTATAAATTAGCATGTAAATCAATGAGGGCTGACAGGATTAAAAACGTAAGTTTTTCATTAAATAACCCCCAAGATGGGATATGGAGGAGCCCTTTGAGGGGTGATTAGCAGTATTGGACACCAAAGCACAAGTTGTCATGGCCGACTCTCATGACAGAAAGGAAGGAATCGTGCCCAACTCGCGGGGTTGTGTTCCCGTAGCTGGTCCCTCCAAACTGACAGCACTTCCTTAGATCCTTCCCTTAACATTTTTTCCCATCACTGAGCTTTACTCATTCTCATGTGCTTCGGAAAGAAGAAGTTACGCTTCCACCAGCAGGGGAGTTGATGTGCCAGGAGCTGGGAGTACTCCCAGTGGGCCCAGCACCACAGGGTCCTCCTCCACCTCTCCCTGACCCTCTGTGAACTGGGCAGGGTAATCTGCACCCAGAAATAGAGCTGTGGGAAGCTCGGAGCCCGTGACCTGCACTACTCCCAGTTCCTGCAAGCACACGCTGTTAGGAGGCTATTAAGCTGATGCTTCAGCTTTGCCCTCCTCTTTCCTGCATCAGGCAAGCTGTACTCAACCATGGAAGGATAAATCTCTCTGTTCCTTCCCTCTCCCACCACTTTTCATTTGCTCCCATAATTTTCCGGTATATTAACTCCAAGCTTAATCATTTTATATTGCTTGTTTGTTTGTTTTTTTATTATTTTTACTATGAAAATTACATTTTTATTTCTACCTGCTCAGCACTGATGTATTTCACTCTTTTCCCTTCTGCTTCCCTTAGCTTGGTCACTGTGTAAGTACCCTCCATGCTTTACCTTAATTGTTAAATCAGTAAGCAGCTTTGTTTGCCCTTCCCATATTGGTACCTCATAGCTTTGAACATGCCTGGCATTTTTAATTGTTGAAGGGTTGTTCTTAATTTTCTGAATAAGAGCTTGTATTTGTAGTCTCAGAAATATGTCATATAGGAGATGTTGCAGAGGTGGGGTTTTTTCAGTATCACAGTCCACGTTGACAAATAGCCCTTCAATTAATCTCTGCTTTTTTATATAA